GACTGAAGTCCTAGTGCTTGGTGCCCAGGCATTTACACCATGCTCACCCCTAGTCCAAAGCCCTGCTCACTAGGGGATTTTATGTGAGTGGGGGAGCACCAGTGCCTTTCTGGGTATCTATTGCTCCTTCTTCTTGCCCCTTGGGGAATCCAACCTCCCCCTTTGGGAGGAAGCTCCTTACAGTTTGCATGGAGGTAGTGGTGGGATGAATGTGGTCCTCATGTGTTTTGTTTGGCCAAACAATTTTTAAAATGCAGGGCACATGTTCTCAGGATATCCTGGTGCTGTGTTACAGGTTAAGAAAAAAATCCATTGCTGCTGGGCACGGTGGCTCATGCCTGAAATACCAGCACTTTGAGAAGCCGAGGCAGGAGGATAATTTGAGGTCAGGAGTTTGAGACTAGCCTAGCCAACATAGTGAAACTGTGACTCTACTGAAAACACAAAAATTAGCTGCACATGGTGGCGCACACCTGTAATCCCAGCGACTGGGGAGGCTGAGGCAGGAGAGTTGCTTGAACTCAGGAGGTGAAGGTTGCAGTGAACCAAGATCACCCTACCAGCCTGGGTGACCGAGTGAGACTCTGACTCAAAAAGAAAAAGAAAAAAGAAAAATTCACTGCAACACCTAAACTTTGGGAAATTTCACATAACTTCTACATTCTAGACCCTCAGTTGCTGCATGGAACCCACTGACTGGAGCTGAGCAAGGACTGTTCCTCTGGGTAAAACACGTGCTCTGCAGCTGGCTACATCTGTGCTATTACATTACCCTGGCCTCTGCAGTCCCTTGAAGTTGAGACCCTCGCCTGGGCTTTTGAACCACAAAGCCTTTTTGATACTGCAGTGTGGTGGACTCAAACTAAAAAACACTGTTAATTCACTCTTGAGGGCAAGGATGTCTCAAACTTAAGTATCCCAGGCCCTGCCACTCTTTGTAGATGTATGCCTGGTAGTGGGGGTGGGGTGACAGCGACAGAAACAACTACTTTTCATTCTTCCCAATGAATCTAGGGACACAGACTGAACTCTCCATAACCCACACCTTCTATTTAGCAGTGATTTAATTTAGCCTCGTGTCATTTTTTTTTTTTTTTTTTTTTTTTGGTCAACCTTGGCTGGTATAACAAAATACTCGTGTCATTTTTAACAAGGATATGAATAGCTAACATTCATTGGAGCCTTACCAGGTTTCCAGTCCTGGGTAAAGTACTTTATAAATATTATCTTATTGAATTCTTTAGGAACTGTTCCTAAAGGAGTGTCCCGGAATCAAATGGCCCAGAGGCCAAGAGGAGGGAGGTATGGGTGAACACGGAGCATTGCAGCTGATGATGCAGCTTAAAAGCAGAAGGGAGGGAGGGGCACCCCGATGCTGTCGGAGAAGCGGCCCAGATTGGCCCCAGGGCTCTGCAACAGACTCCAGGTGTGTAGGGGGCTCAAGCGTGTGAAATCGTGTGAAGGACTCACGAGGTCCGGTGGAGGCCACCGGGAGCGCTGGTTGTTTCCATTGCTATTTCTGTCTCCTCGCTCTCGGTCTCTCCAGGCCGCTCCCTCACCATCTGTCCTGATCAGCAGCCTCTCCCCCGCTCCTCTCTGCAGTGGTCGGCCCACCTGGAGCACTCCCCACCGTCACGTGACCCGTGCGTAAATCACAGGACTCTTCCCACCTCAGCTCCAGGCCCGCACCCGGCACTGCAGAGGTTGCAGGCCGCGCATGCGTATCTGCGGGCGCACGTGTGCGCCCGCTGGCTAATGCCGCGGACCAACCCTGCGCATCCTGTAGCTGCTATCCCGGCTGGCCCTGGCGCTGGAACCTGGGCGGGGGGCGCGGACCCACCTGGATCCAACTCCCAAGCGTGCTGGTTCTCTTTGCCGATTCGCTCCCAACTAAGTGTCCACACAGCCGAACCTCACCTTAGGTGTGGGCACTGGCACTGGGGTTACACCCTGGGCGCTGGACGTTCTTCCCTGGGCATCAGGAAGTCAGAACGAGAGTCCTGGCTCAGCGCTTAGAGTTGTGTGACCCTGGACAAGTGATTTGATCTCTTTGCGCCCCAGGGAGATAATAATAGCACCGACCTCAAAGGGCTGTAGTGAGAATCGGTGAAAATTGACTAGAGCTTTTTTTGCACAGTGCCTGGCATGTATCAAACTCCCAGGAAAGCAAATAAAGAATACAGAGCAAAGGGAAGTATTGTGTGATAGCTGAGGGGGGATTTTACCCTTTCAAGTGGATCATTTTGCTGGCTCCTCAGTCACCCTGGGAGGGAGGCCTGGACGTTTTATTTGTCCCCATTACACAGATGGGGAAACCAAGGCTCAAAGATGTCAAGAGGTCTCCAACCAGGTCTTGGATGCCAAATCAGTGCTCCCAACCTGAGACTCCAGGGGCTGGGGTTCCTGGGTGAATTCACAGTCTGTCACCCCACTCTATCTTTCAGTCATGCTATGTTAAAAAACATCCGTTCTGATTTTTGTCATCTCCAGGTACACATCTGCAGGAAAGGACTTTTTTTTTCCTTCTTTCTGCAGAAAATAAGAAGCTGCTATATTTCATTTGTTGTGACCCTTGAGAGGGTTCCTGCACACGGATCCCAGGCCACTAAGAAGTCCTGGAGCCTTGGCCCAGCTCAGTGTCTCATTCCTGTGATCCCAGCACTTTGGGAGGCTGAGCGGGGGGATTACAAGGTCAGGAGTTCGAGACCAGCCTGGCCAAGAAGATGAAACCCCATCTCTACTACAAGAATACAAAAATTAGCCAGGCATACTGGTGGGCACCTATAGTCCCAGCTACTTGGGAGGCTGAGGCAGGAGGATCTCTTGAACCTGGGAGGCAGAGGTTGCAGTGAGCTGAGATCGCGCCACTGCGCTCTAGCCTTGACAACAGAGCCAGACTCCACCTCAAAAAAATAAAATAAAAAAAAAAAGTCCTGGAGTCCTGCATCCAGGCCTCTCTTGGAGGCTCTTTCTCCTGCCCTACATCTCAGGCTTTCTCCTCTCTAGTCCCAATGCCCCCTCTCTGTCCCTGAAAGAGCCAAACTCCTTTCCACCACTGGGTCTTTGCATCTACTCTATATCTGCCTAGACACTCTCCCAGGACCTTCTCACCACCATTTGCCCATCTCAGGAAGCCAGCTCTGACTGCACCCCAGCCAGTTCACTGGGCCAGGTGCCCTGTTATCCACTCTCACAGCCCCTTCTCCATCTGCTTCAGCACTCCTCAGAACAGTAACTCAATGCTGTAAGACCTTGTTTCCTGTCTGTCCTGGCAGCTAGAATACCAGTTTCTCGAGGGCAGAAATTGTCTCCATCTTACCCATAGCACATGGCCCGGACCTTGGCTGCACTCAATAAACCTTGTTGGCTGGATGAGTGACAAGAGGAGCCCTTGGCCATTCCTTTTCCTTAGCTCTAGGGAATTTTCCAGCTTTGAATTTATATTTTCATGGCAGATGTAGAAACTGTGGAGTATACATCTGGTGAAGAAGGAAGCATGTGGCATTACCAGTGCATCCTAGGCGCCCCCACCTTTACACACTAGCTCCTCCTCCAAATGCACCCAGGGGCGTCAGTATGTTTCCAGGACAAAAGGCAAGGCCCAGACATAGAGAGTTGACACATTAATGACTTCTCTCTCTGTAAAGCCATCTGAAAGTTCTGTTGGGGATAGACTGGGGTGGTGGTGAGAAGATGGTCAAACCTGCTTGTTTTGGGGCTGGTGACTGAAATAGGACATGTGGCCTCTTGTCCTGGCTCATGTGGCTTCTGTGACTTTGGAAAATTCCTCCTTAGTCCTCAGCATTTTTTTGTCTCAGTATAAAATAATGGTTCAGAATTCAGATTCTAGAATTGGATCTTTCCTTTGTCATTTACTAATAAAGGACTTATCTACTCTGAATCTCAATTCCTCATCTGTAAAATCTTATTACGTGTCTTAATAATATGAAAAAAATACCCTAGCTCAAAGGTATTCCAAAAATTAAATGAATATTCACTGATTTTTACTACTACTACCTCTCTTGTTCTCTTTTATTTTTATTTTTTGAGACGGAGTTTCACTTTTGTTACCCAGGCTGGAGTGCAATGGCACGATCTCGGCTCACCACAACCTCTCGGGTTCAGGCAATTCTCCTGCCTCAGCCTTCTGAGTAGCTGGGATTAGAGGCACGCGCCACCATGCCCAGCTAATTTTTTGTATTTTTAGTAGAGGCAGGGTTTCACCATGTTGACCAGGATGGTCTCGATCTCTTGACCTCATGATCCACCCGCTTCGGCCTCCCAAAGTGCTGAGATTACAGGCGTGAGCCACCGCGCCCGGCCCTCTTTTATTTTTAATTGGCTCAATTTGTGTTACTTTGAAGCCAAAAGCAAGCCCTCTCCCATATTTCAAAAGCAGTATCTCCTATTAACAAAGAAAGTCGAGCAAAACTGACCTGGGTCCGCTTTAGTAAATATGGATTCCAGGAAGGAGATACTAAAACCAGAGTTGGTCCCACAGTATGTTCGTATCAGATTTCGGACTTAGAAACTTCTAGACTCTGAGCACCCCATAAGCAGGATGATATTCTGCCTCGTACATGGTTGTAGCTCCAGGGAATAGAATAGAGGCTTACTCATAACAGTGAATGAATAATGAACATTAGCTAACGGATGCTACGCGGCCTGAAGGTAAATCTAGTGCTATTTTCAGTATCTCCTCGCCTCCGTTTTTTCATCTGAAAATGGAGATTAAAAAACAATATCCATAAGTATGAGCTAAGAGGAGTGTAAACAAAAAATAAAAAGCAATGCCCAGTGATTGGAGGATTTGATGAGATGATGCCCGTGAGGCGCTTGGCACGTATTTTAACACTAGAACTCAGTGTTGGTGGATGCACGGATGCAGGTGCCCAGCGAGAGGGAGGTGCTGTGGGTGGATTCACCCTGGCTTCGCTGCGGCTGGGAGTGGGCACTGCTAGTAAGAGATCTCGCCTCCCACCTCCTTCCGAGGGCAGGGGAAAAACGGAAGCTCCCAGCAAGTGGAAAGACAGGATCCGCGCGGGGTTTCAGGCAGATGCAGAGCGTCAGTAGCCTGTGGCCCGGGATCCCAGCGCGGAGGTGGAAGATGAGGCCTGGGGACCCCGCGCCCTGGGTGCGCGCGGCGCGTGAGGCGAGGGGGAGGGCGCGGCTCCGCAGCAGCCAGCCTCCTCCGCGCGCCTAGCCGCATCTCGGAGGGCGGGGCTGAGCCCCCGGGCCGCAGTGCGATTGGCGGAGGAGAGTAGGGGACGCCGACGGCCGATGCGAGGCCACGCCCCCGACTAGCCCCGCCCACACGCGCGCGCCGGCGGCGGGGCAGCCTCTCTGGCTCTCGCCGCGCCCCCGCCCAGTCCGCGCGTCAGTCGATCCCGAGCGCGGCTGCGGGGCGGAGAACTGCAGCTGGCCCAGAGCGCCCACCCGAGGAGGCGGCGGCGTCCGCGGGCATCACGGGAGGAGGAGGTCGAAGCCTAGAGACTTGTGCAGCGCCATGGCCCCCATTGGCCTCAAAGCTGTGGTCGGAGAGAGTAAGTGGAGCTGGGGTCCTTCCCGCAGGCGGGGGCTGCGGCTATCGGGGAGCCCCGTGCGGCCCTTTCTCGCAGCTCCCTGCCTCCGAACGGGCTACCAGCCCTGCGTCCCCGGCCCTAGGCTCCTAGCCCGCGGGGTCCCGTAATTCAGGCGCCGCCCGCGGGTGAGGAAGGTACAAGCCGGCCGCCCGCGGCCCGGGCGCATCCCTGGCTCTCTCCCCCCTCACCTCGCGTTTCACCCGGCCTTCCCCCTCCTCCCTCCCCATCCTTCTTCTTCGCCTTCACTGCCTTACCTTTTCCCTGCATCCTCCTTCTCCTCCATCCTCCCTCACTCTCTTACCTTCACCCCCATTTCTCTCCCCTCGCCCCATCCTCCCCCCTGCCCCCACTCCCTCACCCCACCTCTCTCCATCCTGCCTCTCCTGCTTGCCAGACCCCCTTCTCCTTCCTCCCCTTCACCCCCAGCACCCGTCCTTACCCTTCGCCTCCCCTTTACCCCCTGCAGCCGCTGTCCTCCCCTCTGCACCCGTCACCCTCCCCTGCACCCCCATCCTCACTCCCGTTACCTTCCCCCAGTCCCCTGGTCCCCTTTTCCCTTCCTCGTCTTTATTCCCTGAGTGCCCCGACTCCGCTCCCTTTTCCTGCAATCCTCCTTCCCACCCTCCTGGGTGAGTCGTGACGAGCGAGATCCCGGCCTGCGTCCTCCCCCCCCGCCCCCGGCCGCAGCGCCGTCGGCGGCTGCGAGACCCACCTGGGAGGCTGGGCCGTCCCCGGGCTGGGGAGGAGACGCCTGTTTTCCTGAGGCTGAGCTCTGCGGGTCCGGGGCCTCCTCACTCCTCCCCTTCCCAGGGCTTGGCTTCCAGGGCGGGGACTTATCCGGGTCCTGAACCCCTGAAATCACTCGGGAGATGAGGAGAGCTTCGGTGTCCGCCGCCCAGCGCCGCAGTCTGCAGTCTCCCGGCTTGCGGGGCTCGGCCCTGGCGTAGCCGAACGCTTCACAAGCCCAGACCACGGTGGCAGGGAGGAAATAGTTGTTTATGGGTTTGGATGGAAGGCACCACCCTCATAAATGGATTTTTAAAAATGGGTGGCGGCGAGTGGCGGCCGCAGCTGAGCGAGGGCTGATAGTGGGTGACATTTGCAGAACGGCGTCCTCAGTACTAATTAAGATTGGGGATATGTGTGGAAAAACAGTGCCTCGTCAGTATTTTGGCTATTTCTTTATAACAAAAAAGGTGTAAGGATTGCTGTGGCTTTAGCTGCCTCTGGGGATTAAGTGAAGATTAAAACTAGGCTTTTCTCTGTAGGAGAGGATAAGAAAGGAAAAATAATCAAATGGTGGAAATTTACAGTTTCCTTTCCGATGATTCTCTGCTATTATAGCGAGCGCTCGCTGTGGAAGGCTTTTGGCTATGTAGTGTTCTTTTTGGGCACCATAGCTGTTTTATTTCCCCTCCCCATTCTTTTCATTGATAGATAGGAAATACTCCTACTGACGAATCTTTTTGCAAAACCTTACCTCACCTGTTACATCAGAAGAAAATTGTTATAAAAGCTGGGCTCCAAATAAAACAAAATATAAAAAGGTGCTTATCATAACACCTGCATTGTACCCATGCAGTACAGGTTCTGATTCTTGGACTTTTTGTTTTCTAAGAAGAATCGGGGTGTTTAGGGCTAGGAGGACCCATAGGGATCCTCTAATGTCAACATCTCATTTTACCCATGAGTAAGAAATGGAGATTTGGAGCAGTTAAGTGACTTGACAAAATCAGTGTTAATTTTGTAAAACCCGGTGGGCATTTCCTTGCAACATTCTTTCTTCATTATTGCAAATAACTTTCTTCATTATTCTGTATATATCTTTTCTTTCCAATAGTAAGCTTTTAAGGGGTTGTGAAATATGGAATAGAATGTTACAGGTTGTATTATTTAAAATATTATATTTGCACTTTGGGAGGCTGAGTTAAGAGGATTGCTTAAGCCCAGGAGTTCAAGACCAGCCTGGGTAACATAGTGGGACCCGATCTCTATAAATATAAAAGTAAAATAAAATGGTGTATTTAAATACTACACATTGAAGATAAAATCCCCATGTGTTATAGAAATAAAGTTTTTGCATCATTTTGCCAGAACCCTTGTTTGTGCAAGTGGCTCTATAATACCCCTCCCCCACCTTTAATTAGAAGCATGCATAGAGGGGAAAAAAAAAAGTCAATATGCAGCATGGTCAGAATTTCCTTTCTGAAATAAAGCAAAGCCATTGTATAAAAAAAACACCAAACCAGTTTTACATAAAATTGGTGAGTATGGTTGGGTACGGTGGATCATGCCTGTAATCCCAGCACTTTGGGAGGCCTAAGCGGGTGGGTCAGCCTGACCAACATGGTGAAACCCCGTCTCTACTAAAAATACCAAAATTGGCTGGGCTTGGTGGTGGGCACCTGTAATCCCAGCTACTACTGGGGTGGCTGAGATGGGAGAATCTCTTGAATCCGGGAGGCAGAGGTTGCAGTGAGCCAAGAGTGAGACTCCATCTCAAAAAAAAAAAAAAAAAAAAAAAGAAATAAAGAAATGGTGATTATGTGAACAGAGTTCTATTCCTATAACAATTAGGCATAAATTTCAGAAAAAATATTGCAGTCCTTTGTCAATGACAGGTTAATTCTGGCTTATAATTTTGGATATGGTTTCTAGCTTTGCCCTTTTCTCTAAAAAATGAAAGTAAAAGATGTTTTTCAACCTCTATGCACCAGTTTAAATATCACCTTCACAGTCTAAATTAACAACCCATAATATCATATTAAAAAATTTTTTTTGGCTAGGACTGGTAGCTCACACCTGTAATCCCAGCCTTTTGGGAGGCTGAGACAGGGGGATCACCTGAAGTCGGGAGTTCGAGACCAGGCTGACCAACGTGGAGAAACCCTGTCTCTACTAAAAATACAAAATTAGCTGGGTGAGGTGGTGCATGCCTGGAATCCCAGCTACTTAGGAAGCTGAGGCAAGAGGAGGCAGAGATTACCGTGAGCCGAGACTGGGCCATTGCACTCCAGCCTGGGCAGCAAGAGCAAAACTCCTCAAAAAAAAAAAAGCAAAACTTAACTGGGTGTGGTGGTCACGCCTATATTGCTAGCTACTGAGGAGGCTGAGGTGGGAGGATCACCTCAGCCTGGAAAGGTCAAGGGTGGGTTGAACCGGCCGGGTGCAGTGGCTCAAGCCAGCACTTTGGGAGGCCGAGGCGGGTGGATCATGAGGTCAAGAGATCGAGACCATCCAGGTCAACATGGTGAAACCCCGTCTCTACTAAAAATACAAAAAGTTAGCTGCGCATAGTGGTGCGTGCCTGTAATCCCAGCTACTCAGGAGGCTGAGGCAGGAGAATTGCCTGAACGCAGGAGGTGGAGGTTGCGGTGAGCCAAGATCACGCCATTGCACTCCAGCCTGGGTAACAAGAGCGAAAACTCCGTCTCAAAAAAAAAAAAAAAAAAAAGATGGGTTGAACCATAATCACGCCACTGCATTCCAGCATGGGCAACAGAGTGAGACTCCTGTCTCTAAAAAAATAAGTAGAGACAAGGGTCTCACTATGTTGCCCAGGGCAGTCTCAAATTCCCAGTCTCAAGCTCGGTCTCCCAAATTGCTGGAATTGCAGTGGTGAACCACCATGCCTGGCACGTTTATCATATTTTTAAATGATAAATGCAAATATTTATAACAATTAAAATTATCTGAAATGATTTTGTTTGGTTTATTTTTCTTTTCTTTCTTTCTTCCTTTTCTTGTGCTTGTTTGATTGTTGCATCCACTTGAATGTTACTCCTGTGAGAGCAGGGTGTTTATCTGAAGTGTTCTGGTGCCAAGAATAGTGGCTGGCTCACAGTCTGCATATTTGTTGACTGAATGAATATTACTAAGGATATGAAGGAGAATGAGATAAATGTAATTTTCAGTCCCTTACCCTTTTTTTTTTGGATCTTGGCTCACTGCAATCTCTGCCTCCTGGGATCAAGCAATTCTCCTACCTCAGCTTCCCGAGTAGCTGGGATTATAGGTGCCCACCACCATACCTGGCTAATTTTTGTATTTTTAGTATAGACAGGGTTTTGTCATGTTGCCCAGGTTGGTCTTGAGCTCCTGACCTCAGGTGATCCACCTGTCTTGGCATCCCATAGTACTAGGATTACAGGTGTGAGCCACTGTGTCTGGCCATCCCCTCATCCCTTCTGAGTTGAGCTTTGAGTCGCCAGTAGCTACAGGTACAACAAAAGTAGAGGAGATGAGTTGACTTTAGTTGTTTGCTCAATATTTGTTCAGAGCCTACTATGAGGGAACTATGAGAGATATAGAAATAAATAAAACATGGGACCACTTTATATTGTTGTGACGGGCAATTCAGGGCGGCAAACTTAGGGTATACTCAGCACACTTACTTATGTTGGTCTTGCCATACTAGATTGTAATTCTTTTCAGGGGAAAGTTGTACCTTGTCTTTTTCATATATCTATCTCGTGTGTGAATTAGTGTCTGGAACTCAGTTAATGTCGAATGAATGACTGTAATGTATAAAAATTAGGAGAATGGGCTCTGGAATTAGACTACCTGGGGTAAGATAAATTCTAACTTATCAATTTTTAGCTGTGTGATTTTAGTAAATAATGGAACCTTTTTGTGTCTCAATCTCTTCATCTATAAAATGGGCAATAATAGCACCTATGAGTATTAAATGAAGTGATGCAGATACAGCATTTAGCATAGTTCTCGGCATACAGTAAGTTTAGTAAATATTATGAAAAGATCCACAGAGGGTCAGTAAGTGTTAAGGGATTTAGGGAAGAAATAGACTGCCTCTGTTCTGTGGAGCTGGAATGCCGTGGTACAATCTCAGCTCACTGCAACCTCCGCCTCCCAGGTTCAAGTGATTCTCCTGCCTCAGCCTCCCGAGTAACTTCGATTACAGGTGTGCCACCGCACCCGACTAATTTTTGTATTTTTAGTAG